ATAATATAATAAAAAACTAATATACATATATTAAAAATATAAATAAACAAATAAATTTACTAAAAAAATCATAAATATTTAAATTATATTTCTTATACAATTTTTTTCATTATAAATTTATAAACTTAAGATCTGTGTGTGAGTGTATATAACATATATGATTATACATGAATTGTTCTTTCAACATAAAATAATTCATTTTTTCCTATATTTCTTTTAAATTTTAATAATATTAAATAAATTATATATTAAAAAAATTATTAACTTTTTAAAAATTAAATTTATTAATCTAATTAATATTATTAATATAAGTTAGACCTATAAAAAAAATTATGATAGATAATAAACTAAATTTTAATTTTAATTTCGTAAAATAGATCCGATTTATATGTTTAAAATATAATCTGATATATCATAATCTGATCCTGTTTACAGGTGTGTTTATCATAGAGATAGATGCAGAGCAAGGGAAGGTGACAGTTTTAGGGAATGTGGACTTCAACGTTCTCATCAAGAAGCTTGCAAAATCTGGGAAACATGCAGAGTTATGGTATGCACCAAATCCCAATAACAACAACAATGACCAAGACTACCTTGCAAACCAACTCAAGAACATGCAGATCGACAATCCCAAAGGTGAAGAAGACCAACACAACCAAGGTCAAAATCCAAAGGGTGGAAATAACAAACCCAAAGGTGGTGGTGGTGATAATGATGGTGGTGGCAGTGGTGATGGTGGTCAACAAGGACCAAATCCCCAACAACAACTTCAACTGCAGCTCCAACAACAACATAAGCTTCAACAACAGCTACAACAAATCCAACAAGTGAAAGGGTTTCAAGATCTGAACCTTTCTCAATTCAAGGTTCCACCTCACAACCTCAACTCTAACCCGAACCCCAACCTAAACACCAAAGCCGTTAGATTTGATATCCCTGAAGAGGATGGCGAATTCACTGATAATGAATCGGGTGATGATGAGTTTGATGACGATGAAATGCTGGAACTTCCTCTGAGTGAAATAAAACCCTCCTTGATGATGAATGCTCCCAAGGGTGACAATAATGGTGGTTGCGGCAATAAGGGTAAGGAAGGTGTTGGACTTGTTCCTATTCAAGTGCATGGTTTCCCTGATGGTAACAGTAATGGAGGAGGAAATAATCAAAAACAAGGTGGAAGTAACAATGGTGGAGAAAGTGAAATTGGCACTGTGAAGGGTATAAGCAAGAATAATGTTATGAATGGAAGGAATAGCAGTAACAACAATGAAGGTATGAAAAATGGAAATAACCCAATGGGAGGAGCTGGTGCTCAAACTGTGAACATGGGTGGTGCCCCCAGTGGGCCTAATGTGGGGCCCATGCTTAACATGAGCATGCCTAACATCCCCTCCGTTCAGGGCCTCTCGGCCACCCCCATCAACAGCGGTGGCAACTTCAAAGGTGTTGGTCCCAATGCGATGCTAGGAAACCCTTTCCAACAACAACAACAGTACATGGCTTCCATGAACATGATGAACCAACATGCAATGGGAAACAATAGGTTCCAGCCAATGATGTATACAAGGGGCCCTCCTGCCGTTAATTATATGTACCCTCATTATCCTTACCCTTACCCTTACCCTCACCCTCCTCCAGACCCTTACACCCACCTTTTCAATGATGAGAACACCTCAAGTTGCAATGTTATGTGAGTGATGCTGATGGTGCTGTTGTTGCTGCTTCGCTTCTCAGTTCGTCCTGTTATACCAATGCAAACGAGTTTTTATTTCTAGTATATTTTATATTTTTCTTCCATCCCTTTTGTTTCTCTCAGTTAAATTAGGGGTTTAGTTCACCATAGTACTAGTTTATAGATTTTATAATATTATTATTATAAGATTTTAAGTAGTATAGTAATGTTATAAGGTAATGTCTAAGTGTTGCAATCCGAAATTAAAATTTCTAATATATTTTCTATTTTTCTTTCATCCCTTTTGTGTCCACATATAGTTTCATCGGGAAGCAAATATTAAAAGAAACCACAAACATTTATTTATTCATACTAATAATTATAAAAAAGTTTTTACAAAATCTTGTCTAGTACAATTATTAGAATACAATTCATTTATATTTAGTTTATCCATTGAATAATATCTAAAAATTTGTTAATACTACTATTCCTATTTGAGTTTGATATTGCAGATAAGATTAACAATTTTTCTCTCATTTTTTAATCTCAACAATGCATTCTCAGGGAAAAGAAAGACATTAGAAAGATAGTTGAATATATAGTATATCAATTAAAAATTTAATACTTTTCAAAATAGTAAAGTAGTAAGATAAGTCTTAAAGAATATAAATGAAAATATAAGTAAAGAATATAAAGTATTTATATATTGATTTGTTTTGACTATTGGAACTATGTTCAATTCTTGATTAGCTTGATCAAGTTTTATTTTATTTGTTAAGATACAAGTATTATTTTACAAGTCACTTCTGACTTAAACTTAAATATTTTTTTACTTGTCTCTTCTAGCAATTTTAAGTATTTTTTAATCAGTAAAGTCTCTTAAAGCCTTAAGTTAAAACACAAAGTTAAAACTGAGTAAGGATAACAAGTGTTTCGTAAAACACAAAGTTAAAGTTGAGTAAGGATAATAAGTATTTTGTTTTACTCACAAGATGTGATACAACAATTAAGTGTAGAGTTTTACTCAAAGAATGAAAAGAATAGATGCCTTTGCTTCATTCTTTATTTTTGAGTCTTCAAACTTCTTTATATAGGTGCTTGATGAACATGACTTTTGCAAATCTTTGAGTTCCACGTGTAGTTTTGCTTTGTCTTTCTTTGTCTTTTTTCCTTATAGAATAAGATGTTTGTTGGTGCATTAAATGTATTTCATCAAATTGTCACTTCTTATTTAATGATAGAGGCTATTTATCACCTTTAAAGAATAAAATGGGAGGAATTATTGCTTGTGTTAATTGAAAATGACTTTATGGGTAGCTTTACATGCTTTCATATATCTACTTATCCTTTCTTTGATGAAAAATATATATTCGTTCCTTTTTGAAGTCCAAGTACTAAAAAAGCTCTTATTTCTTCAATATGTTAAGGAATAACATATATAGATGATATGGTTATCAAATATAATAAATAATATATTTAATGCATTCATCTTAAACGGATAAAGTGTGCTGTTTGAAATACTTGTCAAAAAGACATGTCATTCTAATCAATCGTCTTTCTTATATAATCTTAAAACATTTCTTATAAAAAAAAACGTTCAAGTTTTTTAACATTAAAACATGTATATTCTCTTGATCTAACACATTGTTTTTCAAAAATTGATCTTTTGTTAGGCGAAATGAATATTGGAATTCACCCAACTATAGATAGATATACTTTCTAAATGAAGCAATAAATATACATTTTGTGATACATATAATGCAATTTTAATTTGGATCAAACAAATTAGGAAACTTAAAAAGAATTTATACTTAATTTATTTAGATTCATAAAACAATATATGTTTGTTATAATTTATTCTAACATTTTATTTATAAATTTTTTTAATTTAAGTTTGTGAATGACATTAATTAGAATCTATTGCATCTATATTTTTATATTTTATCACTTCATAATAAGAATATTTTTTTTAGGTAGGTTGAGGGAGTCTCATAATAATTTTCAAATACTCCTTTTTTTGTAATATAGTCATAGTTTCCAACTAGTCGACATATTTAGGTTAAAACTGAGTCGCAAATTCACCATATGTTGTTCACTCAAAATAAAAGAAAAAGTACTCCTTACCAACCTCAATAGGGAAATCTTTGAAGAAACTTGTCTCAAATCTTTTGAAGGATTGAGTGTAAGGAAGAAACAAAGGGCTATGGGGTTGACTAATATATAATGGATAACCAACTAGACTTATCATTAGGGTGAGTGGTATAAAAGTGAAGAAATAAGGCGAGTGAAGGTTTAGCATGAAGTTGCCAGCACAATATCTGAAAGGCTTGGAAGGACACCCAACATTTTTAATGGTAATTTCATAAGAAAATAATATGAATGGCTGCTTGAAGAAGCACTCATAATCGTAAAAGAAGGGGTCATCGTTGGGATAAAGGCCCATTAAAACATTTTCATAACTTTGACACTTCTCAACAGTAATCTTAGTATGATCACCAAGATTTATCAAAGTTTCAAAATCGACAAAATTTTCATAAGACTATCAGACTGGTACATAGAAAAACATGTTGTCACTTCATGTTTAATCCACAAGGAACCAAATGAGAGTTTTCTTTGAGGAAGTATTAAATGGTAAGAGGCATGGCCAAACATAAAGGGTTCAAATGATTTTCCTATAGACTCAACATCTCCCACATTCTCAGCCACAAAATGTCCTTAGGTTTGGCCATGATTTGAACGCAACTAGTAGTAGAGTTGGACAAACCATTCCCAAAGGACGATAACTTCTTAGAGGAGGATGATGAAAACTCACCAATAGAATGAACTTTTCTATCAAAAAGAGGTGTATCGAAAAACCTATATCATATACTCGTTAGAACCACTACCTGACTTTATGATTAAATGAAATACAAGTACCTATTTGAGAATATAATAAACGAAAAAGCAGAAAGAAATAGCAAGCAAGAAAAGAAAGGAAAAAAGGAGTAAATAAGTAATAAATAGATTAATAAACTATTCATAGAGAAAGTATGGATATCAATCTGAAACGAGAAAAAATGGTATATGACAACCGGATCAATCAACAATCAACAAAAAAATGTGCAACGCTTTGTATATCGAGGAACATGTAGAATACAAAAGCAATTAATGAAGTAACGTTTCACTAAATTGAGAAAACTTAACGAGTTAGAACTAACCCCGGAAATAATTATGGCAAAAGAAATTATTGATACACTCGTTGGGTACATTAACTTGTATAAATATGTTGTTATAACACACCTGCCGAAGACATTAATTGCTATGATAAATAGGGAAATCATTCTTTCTTTAATTGAAAAGACAAAAACACTATCTACTCATAGTTTATGTTGATGGGATTTCCTAAATATATCTTGGTCATCCAAAAAGATAAAAGTACTTTAATGTTTATCACTCTATACAAAAATTTGAGACTTAAGGGTTTAAACATGGAAAGGTGTCAAGAGACTATCACACATATTTTGAGAGTCTCTCAATTAAACAAAATAAAATAAGAAAATGAAGAAGAAAGTTAAAATGAATATCTTATCTTTTCATTTTTAATATATTTCCTAAACTAGGCAGGAACAATTATCTTTTATAAGTGTAACGGTAACATTAAAAACAATATAAATAGGAACTAATTCACTATATTCTAAACAATCCACTTATCATTCTCTTAAAACTTTCTCATTATTCCCTCAATCCAAAAACAATCTCTAACTTGGACCAAGGTATCTTCGAAGATACTCGACCTCTCTTGGCCTTAAAAAACAATAGAAGAAAAAAAAGAAGGAAAGAAATTTATTAGGAAAAGGAGGCAACACCAATCCCACTTAAAGGAACCTCAACCCAGTTGTAGATACTTACATATTATCTTTCGTATTAGATTTCTTCTCATCTATTTATTTTTTTATATTTTCTCTCAACATAAAAAATAGTACTTAAGATATACACTCTCTAACTCTTTTAATTTTTTACTTTTTTAGAAAAAAAATATTTTTATTTATTTGTCATTTTCAAGTTTCAGATAACATCAATTAATTCTAAACTTTAAATCCTAAACCCAAACTCGACCGAAAAAGAGGAAGAAGTTAGGTTAGCATGGTAGGAAGGGATTGGGTTGAATGGAAGAGCACGCACTCATATTCATTGGAGTGCCTCGAATCTCGCTTGTAGGTCTCTTGCATTTATGTGCCAAAATCCAAAACTAATTAATTGATTTAGCCCAGTTTATTATAGGTTCAATTCAAAGTTGTACGGTCCAAGACGAAATCTGACTAGGGGCCTCCACGAGGGACATGTCGGCCATGGCTAAACCGACCCCCTGTCTAGCAAAGCCCTTCCGCCTTATAGGCTCAGCGCTGGAGGGATAGTGTACGGTCCAAGTCGGATTCTGACCTGCCTCCTACATATGTCAGGCCGACTATAGCTCTCACCGACCACCCCTCTAAAAGTGGTTCGGTTATTATCCGACTTGGTTTCTCAACTTAACCTGGTCGGTCTATTTCCAATTCCTTTCGCTTACAAGAACCAACTCGGCCAATACCCGACTGTACCCTCAGTACGGGTATGGTCGGTTGGGGGCCGACACAACTCTCGCATACAGGGACTACCCGATAGCAAGGGCAAGGTCCCACTGTCCCTCACCAAATATCAGCCAGATCAAAACGGTTGAGGAAATCCCTACATTCTCGGGGCCCGTAAAGCCCATAAACAAGAAACTATAAAAGAAAAAACCCTAGAGTTGAGAAGGCAGATTACACTTTTGAATGCTCTGCCTCTAAGGCTTAACCTAGGAAGAAACCCTAGTCCACCCTTTGGCCGGAATAAAAGTAAATCATCTAATCCAGACCATAACCAAACCAATCCGAATACAACTTAAATAGAAAATCCAATAGTCGATTAAGGACTAATTTTTTTTATCTTAATTTTTGTTGAATTAGGCTTTCTAGACCCGAGTCCAACTGAACCCGTCCAATGATGAACCCTACTCATTAATATTGTAAAATGACAATTAAAATAACATGTTTTTTTTTACTAAAACATCGAGTAAAATATAATGAATGGAGTATCAGAGTAATATGTTAAAGACAACGATATAGAAAAATAAAAACTATATGTTTGTTATTAAAATATATTTTACATGTATCTTAGTATAATTTTTAATAGATTGCCCATATAATATTTAGAAAAGGGTAATTTACTAGGTAGCCCTCCCCCAATAAATGTTATTAAATCCCCAAATTGGGCTTAAAAAACTGACAAAGTTATTAACAAGAGAGTTTAAAAAAAATCTCACATCAGATTCAGATATACTCACTTGCGCATTCTCTCTCCTTTCTCCTCATTCACTTCTTAACATTTATGATATTTTTATTTTTTTTACTCACTTGCCCACCTCACACTCACAGTCTTGAAGTGGAGCCAACCATGAGAGAGAGGTTAAAGGTAGATTCTTAGCGAAGCCAAATTGTGGAAGTTACTCTTACAATTACGGTATCTTCTCCGTGGTAGATTTTCGTGGCAAAATACCAATAAATAAGGCACCAAACAAAGATCAAACGCTTGAAGCACCATTCACCGTTTTCTGCGTCTTGTGCTAATCTCTCATTTTCTTCTGCTTCACCCTTCTTTTTTTCTCAATGACTACTCACCCTTCTCTCTCTTTCCAAGCCTGACCCTCGCTGGTTAGGCTCTGTCTCTTCTTGGAGACCCACAAAACCATTCCTTTTCTCTCTCTTTCCTTTCAAAGAGTAAGAACCTCATTTCTTCCTTGTTTCTCAGATCTATTACCACCCTTTCTCTATTTTTTTTTCTCCACTGTCCCAAGTCGCAACCTTTTCTTTCCGTTGGCGGTCAGAGACATGAGTAAAGAGGAATTCCTGAAGATACAGGTACTCAATACGTCGCATCCTCCATTTTTTTGTTCTGTGCTTTTCCTTATTGGTGCGGTTTATTAATTTAGTTGTGATAAAGTACCAGTCTTGTCAAGTTTCAGTTTCTTTTCTGTTTTGTTAACTATCAAACTGTTGGGGGTTGTGGGATTGCTTGTGCATGCAGAAATCCGTTCTTAAAGTGAACATACACTGTGACGGGTGCAAGAGCAAAGTGAAGAAGATCCTGCAGAAAATTGATGGTATGTGAAATAGCACAATAGTTAATGAATACTTACCTCCTTTTGCTTTATATTTTCTTAAGAGGAAACAAAGTGAGTGGTTTGACATTTATTATTTGAGAAGAAAACAAAATCTGAAATGATCCAGTGTTGAATGTGCGATGTGTTGGGTTTTAGGTGTGTTTACCATAGAGATAGATGCTGAGCAGGGGAAGGTGACAGTTTCAGGGAATGTGGATCCCAACGTTCTCATCAAGAAGCTTGCAAAATCAGGGAAACATGCAGAACTTTGGGCTGCACCTAAACCCAACCACAGCAACCATAATAACCAGAACCAGCTCAAGAACATGTCAATTGACAACATGAAAGGTGGGGGGAATCACCACAACCAAAACAACAAAGGTCAGAATCAAAAGGATGGAAATAACCAAGCCAAAAGTGGTGGTCCACAAGGACCCAATCCCCAACAACAACAGCAACTTCAGCTGCAACTTCAGCAGCAGCAACGTCTTCAACAGCAGCTACAACAACTTCAGCAGATGAAAGGGCTTCAAGATCTGAACCTCCCTCAATTCAAGGTTCCCCCTCACAACCCGAACGCCAAAGCTGTTAAATTTGATATCCCTGAGGAAGATGAGGAGTTGACGGAGGGCGAATTTGATGATGAATTTGATGAGGATGATGAGTTTGATGAGGAGTTTGATGAGGATGAAATGGAGGAGGTTGAAGCGAGTAAAATGAAGGGTCCGAAGGATGGCGGTAAGAAAGGGGCTGGAGCAGTTCCTGTTCAAGTGCATGGTGGAGGAGGAGGAAAGAAAGGTGGAGGTGGAGCAGCAGAGGGTAAAAACAAGAACAATGGAGGGAATAACAATAACAATGTCAATGGGGGTAAAAAGGTTGTTAACAATCCAATGGGTGTTCAGCCTATGAACGGTGGATTCCAAAATGTGGGTGGTCCCCCCCGTGTCATGCCCATGCCCATGCCCATGCCCATGCCCGCCGTTCAAGGCCTCCCTGCCGATGCTATGGCGGGG